TGAAACCAAAATGAGGATTTCCTGGACACCAGAGAAAGCTCTTGCTTTATTAAGGCCTTGGGACTGAAACCTGAGGTAATTAGAGTTAAAAAAAAAAAAAGGGATATCACCCCAAGGGTTGACCGCTCAGGGATCATAGAGACCTCACGGGACTTGTCAGTGCTGTTCATCTTGGCCAACCTAACTGTGGTGAAGTTCCGCCTCTCTCAGCACTGCCCTAAAACTCCCTCACGCCACATCCCAGATGTTCAGAAATTCTAAATATGTTTGTAAGCCAGTCGGTTGATGGGGGCAAGGGTGTCAAGGGAAGGCTTGAGAAAAGGCAAGCAGGAGTGGAGGGAATGAGTCTAGGAAAAGTTTCTTGGAAAAGAAACTCCTCACCTTCTCATGCCTTTCCTGTGGCTCTGAAAAGTAAAGCAAGGCCATCCAAGTTGGGAGGCCCACCTGGGAGTATTTCCTGCCTGGGCTCCCCTCCAGGGGATCTGACTTCCCGGTGCAGTCAGTCCCCTAGAAAGAAAGGGCTTCTGGGTTAATTAGTGGACAGATTGCTTTTGATTTGCTGTTTTCCCTTATTGCTCTATATTAGTGTTCAATTATTTAATTTTAAATAACTTTTTAAAATAAATGTTTAAAAGTATTTAATTTTAATATTAAAAAGCTCTGTAATCTCTGACCCCTTGTGTATGTACTATTGTGTAGTCTCAATCATAGAACGAAGCATTTTATTTTAGGTAGAAATAAAAATACACCTTTCTCTCTCTTACACCCCAACATATGTGTGGATGAATAACACTGGCATTTAGGTTGAAATACTCTACTTCTACTTTTTATGTCAACTATTACCACACTTTTTACTATCAGGTATCAGAATTTTAAATAATTCATGAATTCTCAGAGTATCTCAGTGCATAGGCAGAAATGCTGCACCTTGTGGGCAAGTGCGTGTGTGTGTGTGTGTGTGTGTGTGTTACAGAAGTTCAGCTGGGGACAGAGCTGAAATGTCACTCCAGGATCTGTAGTCTCTGAGAGCTGGTTGAGCTCCTCTGCCAAAGCACCAGCCCTTATTTCAGTTTCTACAGCCATTCAGTCAGGATGGGTCTGAATCTCGGTTGACCTTGAGGAGAAGCTGCTCATCTTTTGGGCAGTGATGCCCTGAAGAGTCCATCTGCATGCGGGGGAGCGGAAGGGACTTCTGCGTGTACCACACTTCGAAGAATGAGCTCAAGCTATGAGTTTCCTTCCAGGGTAGAGAACTGATGTTTGTGTCTCTGCAGTGAAAGCTAATATAGGACTCCTGAGTTATGAATTTGAAGGAAGGAGAATTATAGCATATTTATGCTAAGGAAGGAATAACATGGTTTCTGCATACTTCTCACCATGGCCATGTTTACAAGCAAGAAGACACTGTGCTTTCAGATCCCACAGCTACCTCTCCATCTCATTTTAATAGGGTTATAAATTAATGCAAAACAGACACTTTCATGTGTCCAGATCATGCCATCCAAGAATTATATTACAACATGGGTGGAGAGTTGGCAATGCCCACCCAATTTTGACATTCTTGTGCCCTGAGGGTGACAGTGAGTGTTTACAGGAGCTTATAGAAACTTCTATGACATCTTTAGTTTAAAAAAAAAACCAAAAAACTAAACTAAACTTACTGTGTGAATGCAAAGGACATTTTATGACCAAAGCTGGAAATCATTCTTTATATTTAATACTGAAGAGAGTATCTGTTATTATTATAAGACCCTGTGTGTTTTTTCATTAAACTATAAATTTAACCAATTTTATGAGAGAGATCAAAGTATTAAGTACCTTTCAGATCGTTCTCACTGCATAAGTCACCAACTGTTTACAGTATTCTGAGTTATTCAGTGGTATACATTTACAATTTTTTTTTTTTTTTGAGATAGAGTTTTGCTCTTGTTGCCCAGGCTGGAGTTCAGTGGTGCAATCTCAGCTCACCACAACCTCCGCCTCTCAGGTTCAAGCAATACCCCTCCCAAGTAGCTGGGATTACAGGCATGCGCCACCACACCCGGCTAATTTTGTATTTTTAGTAGAGACAGGGTTTCTCCACGTTGTTCAGGCTGGTCTCGAACTCCTGACCTCAGGTGATCCGCCCCTCCTCGGCCTCCCAAAGTGCTGGGACTATAGGCATGAGCCACCGCACCTGGCCTTTACAATTTTTAATAGAATCTTGTGGTTGAAACAGAACTTCATAGTCATCTGGCCCAACCTACCCACAAGTGCCCAAGTCCTCTCTACTGACCACCACAAGTGCCTTCTGGGTGCTGGTTCAGGATAAACAGTTTCTGCCTCAGCTCTCCTGGGGCTGATCCCTAAGTGACTGCAACTGCTCCTCCTTTAGTGACCACTCCTTTCTTTTCTCTTTTCTCTTTTTTTTTTTTTCTTTAGAGACAGGGTCTCTCTCCATCACCCAGGCTGGAATGCAGTGGTGTGATCATAGCTCACTGTAGCCTCAAACTCCTGGGCTTAAGCAATCCTCCCACCTCAGTCTCCTGAGCATCTGGGACCACAGGCACATGCCGCCACACCCAGCTAATTTTTCTATTATATTTTATTTTATTTTTTATTTTTGTAGAGACAGGGTCTCACTATGTTGCCAAGGCTGCTCTTGAACACCTGAGCTCAAGCGATCCTCCCGCCTCAGCCCCTCGAAGTGCTGGGATTATAGACGTGGCCCGTCATGCCCAGCTCACTCGTTTTTTAACTCCGGTTAGAAAGCACTTCCAGCTTGAGAAAAAACTGGCTTCCATGCATTTGTCCTGATTCTGGCTTCTGGGATCATTCTCAACCACCGAGTCTCAGCAGATGGCATGCTGGGCCCATGTATCTAGGGAGGGCTTGTGTCATGTACACATGTCATGTACTGGGGGAGGACGTAAATTTCAGGATCCTTAATGAAGAAACAGTGGAGGGGGTGCGCCTCTACAACTCTACACCCTTCACACAGTCTGAGATTCTACTCACCTCCCGACCCCAGGATCACAGCGTCTGTGCCACTATTGCTGGTGACAGTGTCACATCTTTCAGCAATACTGGGACTAAACTAATACCTAAGCCTTTCTTCCCCGAGGCTAGTCTTCAGAGACTCAAAGACAGCTATTATGCCCTGTCTCTACCTCTCCTGTTTTCCAGACCAAAAAGCCCAGGCCTTTAGCCATTCCCCTGGGGTCCTGGCTCCGGGGCCCTTCACTGGTGGATCTCCTCAGGCATCACTCAGGTTACTCACTGTCCCTCTCAGAGTCTGGCACTGGAAGTGAGACACAGAACTCCAGTGTGATCTATAGAACGAGGAAAGCAAAACTCTCACCTCTTTTCGTTTTTGTTTTGCTTTGTTTTTTAAGAAAGCAGGACTTCTAAATCTCATCAGTAGGACCTCATCATTTTATGTGGGTTATTTTCTGTGTCACTGGTTTTGTGAGTAAAGACCTGCACCACACATCAAAGTCATCAGACTGAGGCTGAATGAAATCCACCAGTCCACCTTAAAGACAGCTGTCCTGGGAATGTGGGCAATGTCCCACTTGCCCACTGCTGTAGCTTATAGCACTTTACACTCACCTCTTCCTAAAGATCATTTTTGAGTAACAGCGTGACCGTGCTGTGCATCAAGGCAAGCAAACCTTTCTAGCTTAGGTGAATCAGAGGGAGCGGCCAAAGTATAAAACAAAATAGTAAGTTCATAAAAATTGCAGTGCACAATAGGCTCAGATAAAATATTAACTGGGAAACAGAATTCCCTGTATGTGACATGTGCTCTTTCCTAATCATTTTCAGAGTTATTTCAAACTTTTTACTCAAGTTTTTTCAGCCTCCAATTAAAGGTGATGAGCTGCACCAGTCTCTGTGACTCCCAGCTCCAACCTTCTTCACTACAATTTTGGGGGTACTAGCACATGCCAGGTACAGTACTCAATTGTAAATATATGATTTGTGTATATCGTGTGTGTGTGTAAAACACTGCATTTTCCCCATGGAAAAATTTATCCCTCACCACCACCCTATAAAGTAGAGTTTGTTACCTCCATTTTACAGATGAAGCAACAAGGTTCCAAGAAGATGTTGCATAATATTCTATATATGAAATAAGTAGGAAATCGGGCCGGGCGTGGTGCTCACGCCTGTAATCCCAGCACTTTGGGAGGCCGAGGTGGGCGGATCACAAGGTCAGGAGTTCGAGATCATCCTGGCTAACACAGTGAAACCCTGTCTCTTCTAAAAATACAAAAAATTAGCTGGGTGTGGTGGCAGGCACCTATAATCCCAGCTACTCAGGAGGCTGAGGCAGGAGAATCTCATGTACCTGGGAGGTAGAGGTTGCAGTGAGCCAAGATCGCACCACTGCATTCCAGCCTGGGGAACAGAGTGAGACTCCGTCTCAAAAAAAAAAAAAAATTAGGAAATCAGATGATTTGACCCAATGTGTCTGTCTCTAAAGGCTGAATATAATATTGCTTTCCCCACATATATCGTAGTGCTACTGTCACAGGTTGAGTTAGCTGGCTCTGATTTTAAATAGCTACCATTTAAATATTTGCTGAACATATTGTTAGCGCCTAGCCACAGGGATATTGTTTGGAAAAAAACATTTACAAGTTCAAGGCCACGTTCAAGTTGTTCTTTTTGGCTTCAGGTCTAATATACCACAGCACATCCCCTAATCTCTGCACACTTGGAGGGCAGGAGTGTGTCTTAGTCAGTGTTGCTTCCTTTCAAGTCCCAAGCACAGCGCTGTGATGTAGTCGGGACTCAATTTTGATAAACATTGGTGTAATTAACAGGTTTCAGGTCCACCAAAGAAGCATATGCTATGCTGATCACTGCAGAAGAATCCCAAACATCATGCACCCCATTTTCCAGACACAAGTGATTGGGAGAAATAACGAACTTATGTTACAACTCATGGGGAGAGGATACAAATTGATGCCAAAATCTAGTCTCACACCTGCTTTCTTTTTTGCTCCCCCCAGTAAGTGAAAATGGTGACCACCTTAAGCACATGGATGAGACGTGAGCACAGTTGTGGCAGAGAAGTTTCTCCGCACCAGAATTATCCACAGCAACTTGGCTGAACCCCACTACACACAGAGAAATCATCAACCTGACTTAAGAGTTTTCGAGATGTCAACTTCAGGCTGATCAGCAGATGGGATGTGAAAAATACTACCCTATTCTATCATTTGCTGTTGCTTGCTGAACTGTGAAGAACTGCATGAACTATATTTAAGCTGCTTTCTATACCATTGCCAATCACCTTTTTGAACTTGGAAGTGCTATTTTCCTATGGACTTTTGCATTATTTCATTGTGCATGCATCCAGTGATTATACATAAGCAACATATGTAATCTGCTTATATATTTTTAAAAATCCATCCATGCAAATGGTAAATAAAGTATACATTCTTTTGCAAAATTATAGCTCATGTCATTGAAAGTTTAAATTGGTTTCATTTAAAGATCAATATACTAGGTCTGCCTCTACTTTATAGAAAACTAGCTTCTATAAAGATTTTTTCACTGTTTACTAGTGAAATGAGAAAAGCAAAGCTATTTATAAAAGGCCTTATGTCGTGTACATACATCGTCTTTGAAATATTTGTGATCTAGTTTATTGCTTGTAAAAGAGAAATTATATAATTTATTTAGTAAATACTACTGTAAACTATAGTTTTGTGAGAGAAATAAAATATTTTGTTCTCAATTGTGGTGGTACATGATTCCAGTGATTTATGGTCTTTACATTTCTTTTATTAAAAATAACCCAAATACTCCTCATTTGAGATATTCAGAAATCCTAAATAAACTGAATTTTATATGGAAAAAATTTCAATAGCAGCTTCTGCTGAACTCATCCAAGAGACTTTCCCAAATGTCCTGGGATATTAGTCAGCTCTCACTATGTCATGCTATGGTAACAAACAATCCCAAAGTCATAGGAGCTTTCACCAACATAGTTTTACTTCTCCCTCACATGTAGGGACCAGCTGCAGCTCTGCTCCAACAGTCTTCTTCATTCTGGGGTCCAGAGCAGCCCCTGTGTGAGACAGGCAACTTTCATGGCAGTAGAAAAAGAGCAATGGTGGAACCAATGAGAGCTCACAAAGCTTCTGCCTCAGTGCAGCTGACGGCATTTCTACTCGCATTCCATCTGCCAAAAGTGAGCGACATTGACAGGTCTGGAGTCAAAGGTGTGGGACGTATACTTCTCACACGGGAATAGACTCAGCAATGAATATTTTAATCAATTAATGCAGTTTACACCACCTAGTAAGTGTCCCTAGCAACAGAGACATAAGAGGCTGAGAGAAAAATCATTAGAAAGCAAAATGATCAAGGCTGCAGAAAGATATTCCTGATGAGTAAGATGCTCACTGTTAAATACTTCAAGTTAAAACAAGCTGATTCTTGTAAGCAAACATGCTGTAAACTTTTGTAAATGTAGCCCACAGCCATAGTTACTCAGCATAAGTAGCAATTTCACCTGCAGAGTCAGTGCTGGAAAGCTAGGATGTCTTACATCCTAGGTTAGGATGTCAACAGGGAATTCTGCAGAAGTGGATGATTGAGGATCCTCTGCCTCTCTCTGTAGTATTCATATGTGCTACCACTCTCCCTTACTACATGGATTTTCATAGGTGAATCCCACTCTTCCCCCTCCCATTTGTAAATCTACCCATTGAAGCAGGGTTCTTAGCCTAGGACCCACTGATTTTCTAGAAGAGTCATAGATAATCATTAATAGGGCCATGAAATCATATACACAAGTTGGGTATGCTTTTGTGTATACGGGTGTTTTTGTTTTTTTTTTTTTTTCATGAAGAGAAAGACTATACTTTTTATCAAATTCACAGTGACCTGGACCCAAGAAATGTTAAGAACCTTTATTTTAAGACCTAACTTAAAAGCTATTTCAATACCATGAGGCTGTGATCCTCAAAATTCTATCCCCACCGGAATCACCCGTGGCCTGCCTGTGTTATCTCACCCGTCTCAAAAAACCTCAACATTTTCAACTGTTTTTTAATGACCGAGGTATCACTTACATATGCTAGAGTGCACAGCTATGAATTGTATAGTCCAGTGAATTTTTACATATGTGTAGACCCATGTGCCCAGCACCTAAAGCACATATAGAACATTTGCAGCTAACCTGCTGCCTCTTTTTTTTTTTTTTTTTTGAGACAGAGTCTCACTCTGTCGCCCAGGCTGGAGTGCAGAGGTACAGTCTTGGCTCACTGCAACCTCTGCATACCGGGTTTAAGCAATTCCCCTGCCTCCATCTCCCAAGTACCTGGAATTACAGGTGCCTGCCACCACGCCTGGCTAATTTTTCGTGTTTTTAGTAGAGACAGGGTTTCACCATGTTGGCCAGGCTGGTCTTGAACTTCTGACCTCGTGATCCGCTCGCCTCAGCCTCCCAAAGTGCTGGGATTACAGGCATGAGCCACTGTGCCCGGCCACCTCCTGGCTCTTTCATGTCCCCTCTCCACCAATGCCATCCTCAAAGGTCACTATTATGACTTCCAGCATCATAGATTAGTTTTGCCAGTTCTTTTTAAATAAAACTTTATTCATAATAGTTGGTTTCTTGTTTTGTTTTGTTGAGACAGAGTCTCACTGTGTTACCCAGGCTAGAGTGCAGTGATGCGATCTCGGCCTCATAGCAACCTCCGCCTCCCAGGTTCAAGCGATTCTCCTGCCTCAGCCTCCCAAGTAACTGGGATTACAGGCACATGCCACTACGCCCGGCTGTTTCTGTATTTTTTAGTAGAGACAGGGTTTCGCCATGTTAGCCAGGCTGTTCTCAAACTCCTGACCTCAAGTGATCCACTCACCTCGGCCTCCCAAAGTGCTGGGATTACAGCACCCAGCCTTATTGGTAATAGTTTTGACATGTGTTTACAACAGCACACTGTTCAAGAGGAAATCTCATCCTTTCACAGCAAGTAGGTCGAATCACCCTGAGCCCACCTGGGGCACCACCCCAGGCCTGAGAGCTCCTCCTGGGATGGGGAGAAGTGATGAGAGGGGGAAATATGAAGATGAATGAGGTGGCTCGCCAGCAGCTCCTCACTTTTCCATTAAGAAAGAAAACAGGCCGGGGGTGGGGGGCGATGGTGGCTCACGCCTATAATCCCAGCACTTTGGGAGGCCAAGGCGGTTGGATCACCTGAGGTCAGGAGTTCAAGGCCAGCCTGCCAACATGGCAAAACCTCGTCTCTACTAAAAATACGAAAATTAGCCAGGGGTGGTCGTGGGCCCCTGTAATCCCAGCTACTCAGGAGGCTGAGGCAGGAGAATCACTTGAACCTAGGAGGCGGAAGTTGCAGTGAGCCGAGATCGTACCATTGCACTCTAGCCTGGGTGATAGAGTGAAACTTCATCTCAAAAAAAAAAAAAATTTGAAACCAGCACAGGGGTGGCAGGGGAGAAGAGGTGAAGGATGGCTGACAGCTAAGCTGGAGGAGGGGCACCCAGGATGGGAGGAGGCAGAAGCTGCTGGGTGAATAAAACAGGCAGCCCCTCCCTAGCAACCCTAGCCTTGAACCCTGGGCCATGAGGTGGAGGTGGAGGGACTGGGCCTCTTCCATGTCCTTTTGCAGGATTGCCTTCCCAGAAGGGGAGGCTGGGCATTACAGTCCAGCTGAGAATAAAATTAAAGAGTTTCGGGGAAATGCTGCTGTGAAGAACGACCTGGGCTTGGGACTCCCCCTCTGTCTTTTCGGGGAACAACTCCTCTTTGGCAGGGAGTGGGGCCGCTGCTTTGTCTGGGTCCCAAAGCCCAAGGGTGAAGAAAAGTCCGTTGGGGAAGAAGAGAGTGGAGGCTTCCTAAAGGAACTGAGACCTTTGCAAGAGTGGTAGAGGATGCCCCTGGGGAGGGGGGAAGGGGAAATCAGCAGTTCATGGGGGAAGTTCAAACCCCAGGGCCTCCTTCCAAAGTCACTCTGCTTCCTGGATTTGTTAAAATGGATCTGGGAAATGGGGAGACATGGGAAGGTGGGAAGGGCGGGAGGGGTGGAAGTAGAGGAAGGTGGAAAGGGGACACTGGTGGAACTTAAATCAGATTTTTAATTTTTTTTTTTATTCTAGCAAGCAGCCCACTTATACATGGCACTAAACCTCTCTCCTTCCCAGGCAGGATTACTCCAAAGGGCAGGTGTGCTTTTCATTCATCCTCTCTTAATAAGTGGTGCCTGTTGGGGGCTGGAGTTAAGTTTGAGCCCCCCTTTCAACACCCTGTCCCTGGATACACCAGCAAGACCTGGCCTGAATATAGCTGAGAAACTCGTTTAAAACAGGCAGAAGTGGGCTGGGGCAAGGCGGACCCTGTGGGAGGAGGAAGGGAGAAGAATAGATGGGCCCGGAAGGCATAGGGGGTGAGGGAGCAGCTGGTGTGTCCATTCCTCCAAATATCTGGGCTTCCTGTTCCCCCAACCCTGGAGGGTGGGGTGAGGGTGAAATTAGATTCAAGGAACTCTGGGGCCCTCTGGCTGTTCAAACCAACCCACCCACCCCCCAACTCACCAAAAAGAAAATGAAAGGAAAGAAAACCCACAGGGGCACAAGCACACCCCTAAAACTCAGCAAACTTGCTGGCACACTTCTCATTGACGGAGATCCGGATCTCTTCCTCCTCGTAGTCGTCAAAGTTACTGGCATCCCCAGGGCCTGTGTACTTCGGGATGAAGGGAGCTTCCACCTTCTTCTCAAAGAGGGCGATCCAGTTGGTTGTGGCAAACCACTTGTGGTTCTTGATGTCTCCAACGCCGTTCTTGAGGTTTCCGAAGCGCTTGGTGAGGTCCACCTGCAGCAGGCTCCGCAGCAGGTCCTTGAGGTCAGGGCTGAGTTGGGAGGGAAACCGCACCTTCCCAGAGACGATCTTCTCGTAGATCTGGATGGGCTGGTCGGCGTAGAAGGGCGGGAAGCCCGCGGTCATCTCATAGATGAGCACCCCTAGGGCCCACCAGTCCACGGCCTTGTTGTAGCCTTTGCTCAGGATGATCTCGGGGGCCAGGTACTCTGGGGTCCCGCACAGGGTCCAAGTGCGGCCCTTCACGCGCTTGGCGAAACCGAAGTCCGTCACCTGCAGGTAGCCCTGCTGGTCGATGAGGAGATTCTCGGGCTTCAGGTCGCGGTGGATGAGGTCGAGCGAGTGTAGGTACTGGAAGGCCAGGACGACCTGGGCGGCATAGAAACAGGCCTGGGGCTCGCTGAACCTTCCGACGCGCCGTAGGTGAGAGAACATCTCCCCACCCGGCACATACTCCATCACCAGGTACAGGTTAGAATTGTCCTTAAAGGAGAACTGGAGCTTGACAAGGAACGGAAAGTTGATCGCCTGCAGGATGCGCTTCTCGTTCAGTGTGTGCTCGACCTGCTTCAGCCTCACCACCTTCTGCTTGTCGAGGATCTTCATGGCGTAGTGGTTGCCGGTCTCCCGGTGCCTCACCAGCATCACCCGCCCGTAGGAGCCCTTGCCCAGCGTCTTGAGCCGTTCAAACTGATCC